GGCCAATAAGGTCATGGTGAGTAGTAGAATGTCATCTCGACCAATAAGGTCATGGTGAGTAGTAGAATGTCATCTCGACCAATAAGGTCATGGTGAGTAGTAGAATGTCATCTCGGTCAATACGAACAGTTATTTCTGTTTCACCTACTTGGTCAGAAACATTCTCAAAGCTCTGGCTTTTGATACCGAAAGGAAACGTTTCCACTGTGTTCGTTCAAGCTCTTGAAATGGAAAACGTTCGGTCATTTCTTTATTTGTTTCAGATATGCTATACAAGGGCTATTCAGGGCTATCAGATATGCTAGGGCTATCTACACTAACCGTCCCTATTTTCGAAATGATAGATTTTATGGAAGACAGCTAATAAAAAAAAACACCCCTCGCCGACTTTTGAGCTATGTCAATCGAATAATGGGAATTCACTATCACTCTTATAACGATTTTTTTTTCAGTAACGAGACGTAAACCATGAACTCTCGGATCCACAGCCTGGCCAAAAGGGTGAAAAAGACAAACTATTTCTACTGTTTGGAAAAAAAAAAGTGGTCAATGGGTGAAGGAATAAATTGAAAGTTTCAAAACGCCATCTGGAGACTATAAACGTATTCTATTTTTATATTAAAGAATATAACTAACATATTTGCCCCCTCCCCCCAGTGGCACAGCGGTATGTCTGCGGACTTACAACGCTAGAAAGGGGGTTTCGATACCCGTGCTGGGCAGAGCACAGATAGCCCATTGTGTAGCTTTGTGCATAACTTCAAACAAACAAACAAAAAAAAACACTAATATATTCCTAGTGTACACATCCGTCGAGTTAGGCCTAGTGACCCGTTAACATAATTAGTAAAAATTACAATTTCTGTCTTCGTACTTTTCTGCAAGAAACGCATATGTAACATTAATTTATCCAAATATAAATTTCAGAGTTTATGGTGATTTTTATTACGAGTTGTGTGAAAAAAAAAAAATATCGAAATATTAGTTTGGAGATGATAATTTTATTTTCTCCTTTTTTTTGGGGGGGGGGGGTTGTTTAAATTGTCCGAATATGGGGGGGGGGCGAAATTCGAGTTGCCTAACCAAACACTTAAAGAAGAACAAAAAAAAACGTGACTACAAACTTTCGCCTAATTACAAAGACGAGAAGCCGCACGTGAATCCCCTCGGGTAATGGGGATGAAATCGGATCGTCTAAGGTCAGACCAACTAGTTGAAACCCTTGAATTCCTTCTTGCCGACAAGACAAGTTAAGCTGGTAGTTACAATAAAACCGTTTTAAGTATCTCGTACGCAGGTGCGTTTTTAAGCCACCGAACAGTTCCGATTACAAACGTCGACCATAATTCGCCATTTCCATGGAAACCGGAAAGGGTGGGGGGTGGGGGGGTAATTGAGTATATTGGATAGAAGCTCAGATCTCTGTGACCCTGAATATGAAAGCCTGATGCAGGTGTGCGTGTGTGTGTGTGTGTGTGTGTGTGTGTCCTGTAACGTGGGAGAGATGTCCGTAAGGTTTGGTTTACTTATTTCTTTACTGTTTTCGTAACAACCATAAAGTAATTACAGGCCATGTGAAATTCTGCGGTTTACACGAACTCTTTATTATTCAGCTTTCAACCCGAGACCTGCTCCGGTTAATTTCAAGGAAAAATATACGAGCGATGATCTAATAGATATTATAAATAACGAATAATCACGGACAGCTGCTTGAAAGCAGACATGGAAAGTTGCTTGAGTACTATTTTATTTTTTATTTTATTAATATCACCAAGATCAATGGGAAGTATGAATAAATACAATCGTTTTTTTTGTTGTTGTTGATAATTAACGCAATCTATCGGTTCAGTTTCTTTAACTTTAAAACTGTGTTTTTCTTTGTTAAACCGACAACAAAAGAAAGAAAAAAGAACAGGAATTTAGCCATAATCTAATAATTGGTTTTATTTCGTCCAGTAGCATTGTTTAATACGTTCAATATTGTGAAGTCGTAATCCAATATTATTTTATTTCGTCCAGTAGCATTGTTTAATACGTTCAATATTGTGAAGTCGTAATCCAATATTATTTTATTTCGTCCAGTAGCATTGTTTAATACGTTCAATATTGTGAAGTCGTAATCGAATATTATTTTATTTCGTCCAGTAGCATTGTTTAACACGTTCAATATTGTGAAGTCGTAATCCAATATTATTTTATTTCGTCCAGTAGCACTGTTTAACACGTTCAATATTGTGAAGTCGTAATCCAATATTATCTTATTTCGTCCAGTAGCATTGTTTAATACGTTCAATATTGTGAAGTCATAATCCAATATTTTGTTTTATTTCGTCCAGTAGCACTGTTTAACACGTTCAATATTGTGAAGTCGTAATCCAATATTATTTTATTTCGTCCAGTAACATTGTTTAATACGTTCAATATTGTGAAGTCGTAATCCAATATTATTTTATTTCGTCCAGTAGCACTGTTTAACACTTTCAATATTGTGAAGTCGTAATCCAATATTATTTTATTTCGTCCAGTAGCATTGTTTAATACGTTCAATATTGTGAAGTCGTAATCCAATATTATTTTATTTCGTCCAGTAGCATTGTTTAATACGTTCAATATTGTGAAGTCCTAATCCGTAATCATAGACAAACCAATTTTAAACTTTATTACTCCACCTACCAGTAATCCAAACATTTATGAAAATGTTTTATTATTTAACATTATTTAATAACAATGGTCGATCTTTGAGTCCGAACATGCTAATTTTAACTTTGACCCCATGCTTTAGCGAAAGCCTAAACAATTTTGACTTTCGAAATAATGGCTCGTTTAATCTTTAACATTACCCATTCCAATTGTAACCTTGACTTAATGACCTAGCGTGTGTCCAAACACACTTGTGACTCTAGAAATGATGGTCAAGTTCTTTAATTGACTTCAGACATGACAACCTTAACTTTGTCTACATAACGTAGCAGGAATCCCAGCAATTTTGTAACACTGGTTCACCTTTGACCTTGTACATGAAAATTTTAACCTTGACCACAAAACCTGGCGGGAGTCCAAACAATTTGAACTTTGTGGGAAAAAAATGGTTGTTGTTTTACCTCGGACATGAAAAGTTTAGTCTTGACCACAAGACCTGGCGGGACTTTGGGAAAAAATGGTTGATCTTTGACATCGAATTGTTTTTAGTCAAACAGCTGAGTATCATTGCTCATTTAGTTGCAGCAATTCTACACAGTATGTCCATTCTGCAGTAAAATATACGAAACGGAAAAAGAAACGTTTTTACAGTTTTCAGAGCGATTTTTCAATATTTTCTTCTTTCTTTCTCATCACCACAGATTGGAGATTGTGCCAATTTAACGTCCATCCCTGACCCTTTATATTACATTCCTGGCGTGGAACAACTGAAGGTATTTATCAGAAATATGTCTTTGATTTTTTTTTTCTTGGTATTTATGGATAGGTCGATGAAGATGTATTTCAACATGAAGACGTTCAACAATGATAAATTGAAATGAAAAACGACACACGCACAAAATGTTTAATTATTGTTATTCAATCACTGATATTTATCTTGAGTGTTATAGTGTGGTTTTATTTATTCGATGTTAAAACTTTTTTTTTATGCAGACATTATCTCGAAAACTATAATTAAAATAATATTACTTTTGGTTAGAGTGAGAAAAAAAAATGTTTCATTTTGAGAGGTCTGCGTAACCTAGTGGTTAGCGTGTCCGGTTTGTGAATCAGAGGATTAGTGGTTCGAATCCCGTCGACGCAAACACACAAAACGAGGGGGATATCCACACTGCTCCCCCCCAGCTCTTGTGCTACTCTTGTCAAATCGAATAGTGGATTTGACCGTCACTCTTATGATCACCAAAGTGCGTAACGCGATTTAATTTTATTTTTTTGTTTTGGCGGTAACAGGAATCCACAGTCCGGCACCCTAACCACTGGCCACGCTCGGCCCATGTCAGATATATAAAGGAACATCTGTATGCATTGTGATATATATATATATATATTCTAATTGGACTTTACCTTCTTTTGTAGAATCTAACATTTTCTCGGGCCTTGCAAGTGTTGGACGAGTTGATTGTAAACTACACTGCACACGTTTATTTTTCGAAGTCACAAGAAGAAAACATTTCTTGCTACCGTAGCTACCAAGCGCAGGAAGTCGTCGTTAACCTGGAGCAAGTAAGATGTTACCTCCTACACGTGGACCAAATACGAGGGCAAATAATTGACGCCAACAGTTCAGCAAGGAAGATTTTAAACACAAACATGATTGACTTAGCAGTGTGCTCCCTCCGGTTTTCTAGAGATTGTTATATATTTAAAGATGTAACAACCCTAGCGGAGATATTAAACGGATATCTGGACAGTCAGATTTCGCTGAACGAGGACGGAACTACTCCAACCTAATGAAAAACTCTTGAAAGTATTTATTTTATTTTTTGCCTATTTATTTATATTGAATTTGGAAGAAAATTGCCCAATCGCCTTTATAAGGCCAAAAGGACTTCCTTTATATGTTCATAATTTATCCACTTTTACTAGGCCAGATCTCCAAAGAAAAGGTGGAGGGGGTTGGTGAAATAACCTAGATAGTATTTTGTGTCTTTCGTTTTGTAGATTAAACATGAACTTAAAGTATGAAGTATTTAAGTAAAGTAAAAAAAAAAAAAAGAGATAAATTTGTTATTGTTGAAACAAAACGATAGAACTGCCTTACGAGTCGATATTTGTGGAGAGCGATTCATCAAAACTTCCTTTGTTAGCCCTGACATATCAGTCGACTTTCCTTGGTTTTAACCATTTTATTTTTGTACTTACAGATTCCACAGTCCTGTAAACTATTTGTTTATTATTAGTGTTAGGCCTAGTATAATCCTAACGATCTATCAACAAAGGTTCCTTTCAATACTAAAATATGGCTGAATAAAAAATGATGAGTAAGTTTTAATAATAACCAATCTAAAATATATTTTTTTATTTCAAATTCAGTCAGTAATAAAGATTTTTTATCGATTATATGTAAACATTTTAATAAGGTTAGTACAGTATTGAAAAATGTAAGAAGGGTGTTACGTGAAAAAAAGGGTTGCCATCCTCCACTATTTCAGAGGACAGTACTTTATTTCCTGTATTTTACTTTTGAGTCATTGCTTCAGCTCATTGGTTTATTTTGTATATCTAACTAAAATTTTTGTTTAGTTATAAACAATATTCTACGGAATATTCACAGTTCATTTTTAGGGTGTTAAGTAAATATATAATATTTTTTTGTTTTGCTACGTTTATTCATGTACAAGATAGCAGACTTAATCGTCTAAATGTTATGTCTTTAATATAAGGTTTTATTTCGAATTACGTCACACTGTGTTATATATATTGTATATTGTTCTTTTATCCACTGTAATCTTAGTTTCGGCAAAGATTGAAATAATTCGTGATTGACGCAAAAGAAATTTTAGAATATTCAACTCTTTTGAAAAATCTGATGTACTGTATAATATTCAACTGGACGACTTTAAAAGAAATATATACAAGAACAGATACTACAGTGTATTTGGATCAAATATTGCAAAATGATAGGTGTAAGTGCAGTCATCTATTTGTGCTTAGGGTTAGCCTACACTGGATTATTGTATTAAAGACACAGGCATTCAAGACTTTCTGGCCAGATCTGTCAAATAACTTGTTGTGGCGGTATAGAACAGGCTTGTAATACCGTCTACATTTAGAAAGACGTGTACGTCACGACGTGTTACATTCAGAATGCATTCTCTTTCGTTTTAGTAGTTTTTACCAGATAAGGGTATTTTATTTTTTAACCGTGACAGAGATTCAGTTTTTGAAGTAAAGGTTATGATAAACTAGTTTTTGAAGAAAAGGTTATGATAAATTAGTTTTTGAAGAAGAGGTTATGATAAACCTACAGGTATATATTAGTAATATTAATTGTTTTTCGTTTCCATTAAAGAACCATCTTACTGATTGGTTGTGAAGCGCGGTCCTGTGATAAGGCTCTCTATGAGTACATCTGCTGAGCGAAGATGTTCGCAACTGAATATTCTCCTGTGGCGAAGTATTTTTCTTCTAGTCAGTTTGAAACTGTATGCTCAACGATAAGGAATTTGATAACAAGTAAAAAAAAAAAATCGATGCTCAGTATTGACACTAAACAGCTTTTAAGTACACTTAGATTAACTAAATTAGCCTAGAAGGGCTGTATGACAGAAACACAAGTTGGTTTTCTTACATTCTGGCCCACTTTATCTCTTTCAGTCTATTATTTCCAGATTGCTTATTTTTATGCTTGCTCTTGGCGACTAAAGAGTGAATAGCGAATGAATACAGTCTAACCAACCTTGGCTTAAATACTTATAATAATGGAATTCAAACTTATTGAAGAAAAACACAATAGTGCTTAACGTATTATATCAGTATCATTGTTGTTAAACAGCTTAACGTGTTATATCATTATCATTGTTGTTAAACAGCTTAACGTATTATATCAGTATCATTGTTGTTAAACAGCTTAACGTATTATATCATTATCATTGTTGTTAAACAGCTTAACGTATTATATCAGTATCATTGTTGTTAAACAGCTTAACGTATTATATCATTATCATTGTTGTTAAACAGCTTAACGTATTATATCAGTATCATTGTTGTTAAACAGCTTAACGTATTATATCAGTATCATTGTTGTTAAACAGCTTAACGTATTATATCAGTATCATTGTTGTTAAACAGCTTAACGTATTATATCAGTATCATTGTTGTTAAACAGCTTAACGTATTATATCAGTATCGTTGTTGTTAAACATCTTAACGTATTATATCAGTATCATTGTTGTTAAACAGCTTAAAGTGTTATATCAGTATCATTGTTGTTAAACAGCTTAACATATTATATCAGTATCATTGTTGTTAAACAGCTTAACGTATTATATCAGTATCGTTGTTGTTAAACAGCTTAAAGTGTTATATCAGTATCGTTGTTGTTAAACAGCTTAACGTATTATATCAGTATCGTTGTTGTTAAACAGCTTAACGTATTATATCAGCATCGTTGTTGTTAAACAGCTTAACGTATTATATCAGTATCGTTGTTGTTAAACATCTTAACGTATTATATCAGTATCATTCTTGTTAAGCAGCCTAAGGTGTTATATCAGTATCATTCTTGTTAAGCAGCCGAAGATGTTATATCAGTATCATTCTTATTAAGCAGCCTAAAATGTTATATCAGTATCATTCTTATTAAGCAGCCTAAAGTGTTACATCAATATCATTCTTGTTCAGCAGCCTAAAGTGTTACATCAATATCATTTTTGTTAAGCAGCCTAAAGTGTTATATCAATATATTCTTGTTCAGCAGCCCAAGGTGTTATATCAGTATCATTCTTGTTAAGCAGCCTAAAATTTTATATCAATATGATTCTTTTTAAGCAGCCTAAGGTGTTATATCAGTATCATTCTTGTTAAGCAGCCCAATATGTTATATCAGTATCCTTCTTGTTAAGCAGCCCAAGGTGTTATATCAGTATCCTTCTTGTTAAGCAGCCCAATATGTTATATCAGTATCCTTCTTGTTAAGCAGCCCAATATGTTATATCAGTATCCTTCTTGTTAAGCAGCCCAAGGTGTTATATCAGTATCCTTCTTGTTAAGCAGCCTGTCCCTTCAAAAGTATTATGTTTTGTCTTTACCATGTTGCCTACCAGTTTCTTCACGTTGAAAGAAAAGTGCCTTTGGATCAATTCTTTCATCACTTGACCAAAAGAAAAAACTGTAGTTTATTTAGTAGATACTCAAGTCTTGTGAAAGCACTATTGCACGTTTCTATTGCGTTTACATCAGTGGTAAAAATGTTTCCATAATTGACATGTTTTTCATGTATCTCGCAGTGGTATTGAAACCAGTATATCACGCTTTCAGTAGTTTTTTTGTAATTATCTAAAAAAAAGATGTTAAATTCTTAAATTGGCCCTGGATTTCGGAACAGTCGAGCTAGGTTCGAATCTGTTCGATAACACAAAACATTCTCCCTACTTTAAGCTATGGGTGCGTCATAAGAATGACAGTCAATTCTCTATCATGAATGGTGGGTGCAGTTTGCTATTGACTGCCTTCCTTCCCTCAGGTCAGTAGTTCAAAATTAGGGTTTATCTGTATTAAAACGCAAAGCTACAAAATGGGCTAGCGGTGTTCTGCCCATTGCGAGTATCGAAAACCAATTTTAGCATTATAAGGCCTCTGACTTCCTGTTGAGCCTCTGGTAGGCTTCAAATTAGGCTTAGTAGCTCTGTCATAAATGAAAAAATACTTGAATAAATGCTACAAAATACTTAATACGGTTTTGTTCTACGCTTAAGGGATGAATAATTTAACCGTAAATAATATTTCACTAGCAAGTCTAAAGTTGAAGGTCTGATGAAATCCCTGTTTCGCCATATCGAGCTGTATTGCACTACGTAACTTCTAATATGGAAAACACATTGCAGGCGTGAGCTTCCACTTAATCATAATATAGTATTAAATTAGTTACTTCAATTACTTCAAATAGTTACTTCAATTACTTCAAATAGTCACTTCAATTACTTCAAATAGTCACTTCAATTACTTCAAATAGTCACTTCAATTACTTCAAATGGTTACTTCAATTACTTCATCATTGTTTTTTTTAAATTAATAAGAATGTAAAGTTCCGTATGAGTGAGCGGCCATTGCAGGTCCTCTAAGGGAATGCGGAACGTTACAGTATAAAACAATGCTTTACGCCCCTGATATTCCGTTGAGACTATTGTTTGAATTGTGTTTGCCGTCGCTGCCGCTGCCGATACTGTGGCACATATTAGCAACATCATGGGTGGGAGTGATGTTCATTTAAACTACATAACGATTACTAGGCCTCTCATTTGCTAATGTCAGTGAAAACGTCACAAGATAGTAGAAACAACCAGTAAAGTAGATGCCATGACATCTATCACATGTGACACACAATTGAGTATAATAATATCTGCTTAAAGTTGCGAAATAAATAATCCGTTGATGGAAATGTCATCTGATTATCCGATTCATCGCAAAATTAATATCAGATCAAATTTAATCGGATGATGCAATATCCAATCGGATCAGATATTAGTCCCCTCACTAGCTGAGATCTAAAACAAATATACTTTCCAAAATATAAAAAGTTTAAATGTATTATCTATTGGGGCCAAACAGCAGGTTCTGGTAAGTTCTCGGGAGTATTACCTTAAACCTTTTTATCAGAGGTTATAAATAAAGATTTCGGCTTAGTTAAAATTTGTTATATTAATATAGTTAATTATTTCGGAGTAAAAAAGACACAAACAAAAGTAACTCTAGATAAAATACATTAAATGATTAGCCTATAAACAACAACAAAAAAGGGGGAAAAGAAAAACAGCGTTAGCAGTGAGGAACTTATATAAACAATTTTTCTAGTGCACGATTTCTCGAAAAGAAATTGACAAAAGTTCCAACAAATAAATGGAAACTAACAGACGAAAATAATTTTGTTTTGATATTTCTGAGATTTGGTTTTATTTCTTTAATATTCAACAAATCACAGTAATTGTTATTACTTTGTACGGAATTATTGTTCTTGGTTTAATGTCTTCGATAAATTGGTTTTGGACTATAACTTAACATTCCAGTTACATGTGATTTAAAAATTACACTTTATTTATGTAGGTAGCATTCAGTGATTTTTTTAAAACTACTCTCTGGTGGTAAATTATTAAACTATATAAGATATTCTGGCTCTGGGTATGTTAAACGTACCTTTTGTATCGAACATTTGTAAAGGTTACGCCTCAGCACAGCAGTTAAGCCTAACGTACTTGTACAAGTAAATACTATACCAGCATCCAATTAAACCTTATGTTTATATTTGCATACCTATGTGCTATACCAGACTTGTAAGTCAGCCTAACGTAAATAGTTTTGCGGTACGCTTAACGTTTAATATAATACGCTTTGTAACAGTATGGCAGTTAAGCCTAACGTTTTAATACAAATATACGCTATAATACAATCGCTGTAAAGCCTAATGTAGTAATACAAATGTATATGCTATTCCAACATCATGCTTAACCTTAGTGTTTATATAAAATTCACGCAACCTACCAGCATCATAATTGGGCCTAAAGTCTATATAAATACACGCTACATACCTCACTCTTAAGCCTAATGTAATTACATGAAAACACGTTGTGCCAGCATAACGGGTAAGCCTAATGTGCTTATATAAGTACGCAAAAAAAAAAACAAACAACAACAACAAAAAAAAAAAACACGACATTTCAAAGAGTATTGATTATTATTATTACTACATTTCTTAAAAGATGTAGTTACTTCATCTTAAGTTTGAAAACAAATATAAAATTGATAGGGTGGAGGTTAGGCCTTTCTTACACCTGAAAACAACGTCAGTTTAAAATATGTTATTATCTTGTACTTACCACTAGGGTCCACAGCCACGTGCTCTATCCCTAAATTTATTATAATCTGGTTTTTGATCATAAATTGTTACTAAGAAACACTTGTTAGTATATATATTGAAGTGTTAATTGTTAAACTGTATATAGTGTAGAATACAGAATGCATAAAACAAAACGTTAAAATTAAAGGTTAACATCAAATGCACTCAGGTAAGTTCGAGGTTATATAATGTATTGCCCGCATTAGTTTAAATGTATGTCTTTCCAATTACAATAACGGGACCATATTGGAACGTAAGAATCTGTGTGGGTGCCCGTGCTATAAGGGTCGGAAGTAAAATTTGTGTGTTGAAGGAAGAGGGGGGGGGGATTAAGTTTAGTGACATGTACAAGGAGGTGGCTGGGAGGGTTGAAGTCCCTGCCTTTATGCCCCAAAACTTCCCTTTTTCTCAGTCATAAAAACTGTCAATGACTGTTACAAGATACACCTGATTTCACACCTTGTTTGGACAACAACAAAAATATTTCATTTTTAAAATTACTGACACACAGATCCTTGTAAAAAAAATAATAATTGTGATATTCCATTAAGTGTTAATACGCAATAATTCACTATTTAGTTTTAGATTTTAAAAGTGGTTATAAGATCAATTGAATAGGAATAAAAGAGGATCTGTTTGCTTCTTATCGTTTTATTACCATATTTATAACAGAGGCAATCCATAGTCTCCAGTCCTCCAAAGATTGTCCTACAACGCTTGAAAATTTCCTTCTCTTGTCAATGAGACTTAGTGATGTTCTCTTCACGTTGCTGATAAGGTTGGAAGTGAATCAACTTTACAGTCTGAGTGAAAATCTAGGCCTATTTTCGTGAAGTGGGAGCCAGTATATGACGGAAATCAAGGAAAACAACAACAACAACACATATAAGGTTGGAAGTAGGCCCCCTTGTTCCGACGCCTAAAACTCAATTGAAGTTTGGGTAGGATTGTATTGGAAAGGAGGATCCTAGGTCCCGTTATTTCGATTTCTAAAACTAAATTCAAGTTTGGATGGGATTTTATTGGAGAGGAGGATCATAGGCCCCTTTGTTCCAACGCCTATGCGTTTCAAGTTTGGATGGGATTGTATTGGAGAGGAGGGTCATAGGTCCCCTTGTTTCGACGCCTATGCGATTCAAGATTGGATGGGATTGTATTGGAGAGGAGGGTCATAGGCCCTCTTGTTCCAACGCCTATGCGTTTCAAGTTTGGATGGGATTGTATTTGAGAGGAGAGTCATAGGTCCCCTTGTTCCGACGTCTATGCGTTTCAAGTTTGGATGGGATTGTATTGGAGAGGAGGGTCATACATAGGTCCCCTTGTTCCAACGCCTATGCGTTTCAAGTTTGGATGGGATTGTATTGGAGAGGAGGGTCATAGGCCCCTTTGTTCCAACGCCTATGCGTTTCAAGTTTGGATGGGATTGTATTTGAGAGGAGAGTCATAGGTCCCTTTGTTCCGACGTCTATGCGTTTCAAGTTTGGATGGGATTGTATTGGAGAGGAGGGTCATACATAGGTCCCCTTGTTCCGACGTCTATGCGTTTCAAGTTTTGAAGATTTTAATCTAGGCGAAGAGTTTTGACGTCTCCAGTTTCTCTATAGTTTCGTATATGTAATAAATCCAGAAAACGCCCTAATTTAGGCAAATATTAGTTTCATTAATTTTCGAAATATATTCTCGTGTAATTAAGATGTTATTTTGTCAGGGGAAGTCTGTTTGTTGGTAACACAAGAGTACACAGAGTTATTTACAGTTTATAGAACGTATACAGTTGGGGGACAATATGTGAAGGACGTTTGTTGTTCTTTACTGTTGGTTTTGGAATTGTTTCTGGCAGAGTTAGTAAACATTGTTACAACACTGGTACGTTTGTTGTTCTTTACTGTTGGTTTTGGAATTGTTTCTGGCAGAGTTAGTCAACATTGTTATAACACTGGTACGTTTGTTGTTCTTTACTGTTAGTTTTGGAATTGTTTCTGGCAGAGTTAGTAAACATTGTTACAACAATGATACGTTTTTTTTCTTTTTTCCCAACTAACTCAACGCACTTCTTATCTATCAGCATTGACATTCTTAACACGTGACTTCTTTTATACCTGAACAGCCCCCTGGTGGCCAAACGGTGACTCAGAAAGTGTCCCGGACATCATAGACATTCTTCCTTTTGCATATCATCCTCCACGAACGCTCCAGTTTTCGCGAGGGATTTAAAGTGATCCGCGAAATATGAATCCACACGAGATGGATGTTAAACAAATGATCAAAGTTCAGATGAGAGAATATGGGTTATAAATAAATCAGTTATTTTTTTTCTTTGGGGGGGGGGGTACACGTGAATATTTTTCTGTAAAACTCCTATGCTTTTGTTAGTCATATTTCTATTTATGTACTATATTTATTTTCTATTGTAGAAGTGACCTATTTAAATAGGGGGAATTTCAAACGTGACTGTACTTAAATACTGAAAATAAATTATTCATTTTGTACACAAGTGACTATGTTGTCCAAGTTTATCTAGCCTAACCGTGTACGTACTGCCCGACAGAGTACGTGTTAAAAATACACAATATACAACTGTAATACGCGTTGTTTCGTGATTATTACACTGGTCTGGTATCCACGCAACGAGGGGTCTTGATTCTGTGCATGATAAAACCCATCTATCAAGAAAAGCCAATGCAGAGATAAAATTCGTTCGACTTTTCGTTAAATACATGGCAAGCCCTCTATTGATTCAGTCAAATTACATGTGTGATAATAATGCATTAGATCACTGATGCACGAGAATCTTAATAGAATATAAAGCTTCTAACAACCGCAGAAAGGGTTTGTTTGGAATTAAGCACAAAGCTACACAGTGGGCTATCTGTGCTCTGCCCACCGCGAGTATTGAAACCCACAGATATACCGCTGAGGGGTCGCTGTAAGGGAAAACAGGATCGGAATATCAAAGATATTAATATTTATTACATTCTGTGCTAAACCGAAACATCACAATCGTTAATAAGTTATTTATTTTTTTCTACTGCAATTTACACAATTTTCATATTGTATTCCATTCAGATACTTTGCATGGAAGTGGAATTAAACGTGGTCGAATTTTGTTTTAACCCCGAGCAACGAGTAAGTTTATGAGATGCCCAGAGGCGACTAGAGCACCTGTGAGAGTAGTGAATCGAAAACCCACTCTTGTTTCTTTCGTAACTGGTTTACATTTTCCAACAGACATAAAGAAAGATAAATAATTCTTCAACTGTTCTGGACAAACAAAACAAAACTGAAACCTCCTGTACAAAACCACGTGACAGCCTCGTTTTAGAACTAGCTTCTGTTCTAGAAGCAACCCAAAAATATATACGCATACAGTTGTTATTAACTGGTCCCAACTTCTTTTGCCGGGTTTTTCCAGTATAAACTTGACAGAGAATAAAACTATAAATCATTCACTCTTGTCTGCAAAAATAGTGCAACTTTTCTAGGGGAGTCGTTCACTGGTCTTTTCTTGTAAATCAAAGCCCAGATTGTGAAACATTTATTCGTGGAAACCCAAGACGACTTCTAGTTTGACTTTAGAATTTCAAGAAACGTGTAAAGTGTGACCCGTCTTGGTGTACCATTTAATTATTTCCATCCAACGATGTAACTGGATTGATTTAATATGTCGAAAGTTTATTCAACCACAGAGAAGCGTGCAAAACCAGGCGTGTCTTATTGGCTACTCAAGTTCGAACGTCTTGGAAGACTTATACTGCATTCTCGTGAAATATAACTTTAAATATGCCGACTGATAACAATTAAATGGTATTACAGTGGAAAATGTGTGAGATTATACTTTTCATACTGCAAAAAATACTGAAGAAATAGATCAGAGTATTTATATTATAAACACTAGTTTTAAGAATGCCATTGAGACAAATATATCCCTAAGCAACATAGCTGGATTTTACAAAATAAAATTAAAGATGCTATATATATATATATATTAAAAGGAAATTAAGAAAATTATACACGTAAAATAAGAGTAGTTAATTTAAAAAAAAACTAAAAACGTAAAGATTTCGATAAAGAAAAAGGTAACTCAATATTTGGAAATTATTTTTAAAATTTTGACAAATGAGGGGGGAAAAATCATAAGTTTAATTATTTAACGAGAAAATAAGTGTCAAAGAAATACAAGTAAAACATATGGGTGGAGGAGGCAACCCCCCCTGATACACCTTGACCGAAAGAAAAGTGCAGAACTCTATCTCTGATCTTGATAAATATCAGTCCTAGACATACGAAAATATTTAACAACGCACGAAGCACGAGAAAAAAAAAAAGTCAATCGACCGCGCATAAACTTTCGGTTAATTTACTTCGTATGGGGATACAGTTAATACATTGTAAGTAGAGAGATAATTGTTTGTTTGTTTGTTGTTAAGCGCAACACGACACAATGGGCGATTTGTGCTGTGCCCACCAGGGGTATCGGAACCGAATTTTTGGCGCTATAAGTCTCGAGGCTTGCCGCTGAGCCAAAGAGGGCAATTTAATCCGCACGAGGGTACATTAATCCACTGCGCATTACACGGTCTTCTCTCATACTGCGAAGGGAAGCTAACAATTAGAGAAATATTTGAAGAACCGTTTGACGTTTAGAGTCTTAAATAAAACAACAAGAAATTAAAAAAAAACTCCTTATAATCTCATTATATTTAGGACTACAAACAATGTTTTTTCATTTCTATGTAATATGTTTAGGACTACAAACAACGTTTTTAATTTCTATGTAATATGTTTAGGACTACAAACAACGTTTTTAATTTCTATGTAATATGTTTAGTACTACAGACAATGTTTTTAGTTTCTCTGTAATATGTTTAGGACTACAAACAACGTTTTTAATTTCTCTGTAATATGTTTAGGACCACAAACAACGTTTTTAATTTCTCTGTAATATGTTTAGGACTACAAACAACGTTTTTAATTTCTCTGTAATATGTTTAGGACCACAAACAACGTTTTTAATTTCTATGTAATATGTTTAGTGCTACAAACAACGTTTTTAATTTCTCTGTAATATGTTTAGGACTACAAACAACGTTTTTAATTTCTCTGTAATATGTTTAGGACTACAAACAACGTTTTTAATTTCTATGTAATATGTTTAGGACTACAAACAACGTTTTTAATTTCTATGTAATATGTTTAGTGCTACAAACAATATTTTAATTTCTCTGTAATATGTTTAGGACTACAAACAACGTTTTTAATTTCTCTGTAATATGATTAGGACTACAAACAACGTTTTTAATTTCTCTGTAATATGTTTAGGACTACAAACAACGTTTTTAATTTCTCTGTAATATG